TTTTTTTTCTTTTTCTTGTCACTGGGCAGCAATTTATTTATTGTTTTATTTGAGATATACAATAAAAAAAAAGCACAAAAAAAGCTTCTTTTCTACTAAAACGCTTTCTTCAGTTGTTGCCAATTAATCAAAACAAAACCTGGAAAACAAATCAACAACTTGTTCTTTCGTTGCATCTCAACCTTATAACTTAGTGAGCTTTTTTTTTTTACATATAATCACCACAGTTAGCAGCATAAAACATGGCAATGAAAAAAAAGCTACAATGAAATCCAAGACAGACTATGATCGTCCGCTGCTCTCTCAACACCTAATTGCCACCAAAACCTGATCGACAATTGTCCTCCTAAGTATGTGTTAGCCATCCACTATCTTTAGACAGTGTAGTCAATAGAACTCAATTGCGCCAAATAACAAGAAAAAATGCATCGGAGTTTATTTCCCTTTTAGCAATCTTTAGTATTCGCTTTTTTTTCTGTTTTTAATCTTTTATTCTCTACAGGAGAAAAGCGTTTATGCTTTATTACTGTAAATTTATACCAAACCGAAACATCTCAACATAGTGCAACAAAGAAGTGTGGTACACAAAATACAATCAAGTGATCATAAAGTTGAAACATCAGTGGTCTTTCTTTCAAAAAATTTGATTATCAGAATCGCTTTTCTGTTCACTGTAAGACATTTCTGGCAAAAATTTTTTCCGTTTTATTTAGCAACGTCGGTTTTCTCCCGTTACACGTGGCATACCTACGGTTCGCCTTTTTGTAGTTAAAACTTACTTAAAAATGTCAAGAATACACTTTGGTTACTGAAGAAAAAGCTATCAACAGACGGTTTCAATCAGGTCCGACTAATCAGCACCTGATAGCAACAGGAATTCAGAAAAAAGATTTTAGTTTCTTGATAAATGTACACCTTGTAAATGTTGGACGTAAATGTTACCTAGCGATACATCACACGACAAATCAAAAACAAAAATGTTTTGTTAAGAAATGTCAAAAAAAAGTCATACCTGCAGTCATATGTGACAAAAATTTGGCAATTTGGCAACTCAAAACAAACATAAAATATAGAAGCTTCAAGGAAATATAAAAGGACTTAAAATTATGATATAAACGTCTTCCCCAAGATGACAAGCGTTTAACAGACTCGGCTATATATCACGTCTTAAGCTATATATCACGTTTTCTATTTGAGCCGTAAGAAGCTTTGATGACAACGTATTATCGAAAGATGGGGAAGGAGTATTGGTAAACCAGGAGTGTTTTCGTGCTATGACACTGGCCAAAGTGCTGAAAGACAGAAAGTACGGTGCTGAAAGACAGAAAGTCGAGAAGCTAAAAGACTGTTTTGTCCTTTATCCACTCCACGCCCTTTTCCACCAGTGGATTACCAGTTCTAGAAACATAGGCAGTCTTCGTTGGCAAACAAAGATTTTAAACATTCTCACACAAACAACCTTTCTTCCTGTAACTTTTCAGTTCTCTAAATACATATACTACAGACAAAATTCAAACATGATCAATTTTATGTCATGTTTTCAGAAAAGTCAGTTTTTCTAATCCAATCAATTTCCTTCCAGATTCCCCAGAATCGCCTCACTATTTTAATTTATTGCTTCCGCCCATTTGAAAGCATACCAGAAGTTTACTTTGCATTCATTTAAGATCCAGCTTTTTCAGCTTCAAATTAACACACTCACTAAGTACAGAAAGATTAAAGATACTAACATGCTAATAAGAAATTAGTGCTTTACCTAAAAGAACTGTATAATACCAAAAAAACTGTACATCGCCCAGCAAAAATGAGCATTATTTTGTTTGTAATGCCCAAGTGGTTTTGGAAAACCAGGGAAGCAGATTCCGAAATTATTTCATAAGAACATGCACCTTAATGTGACTGTCAATACAGTGGTAGTGAGGTCAAATCTGTAGACCCATAATCATTTTAAAGAAAACGAAGTCATTACGGCTAGATAAAACACTTGCGATCGGGACGTCCAATAAAAATAAAAGCCCTATGTCTAACTCATCGTAGTAAAATTCTAACTTCATCCGTAAAATACTGCTTAAATTGTCAACAAAAAATAAGTGGTAAGCTTGAAATAGTTTAATACCACAGTTTCGCGATTTGCCTTACTCAAATTTAAAAAAATTTGGTGTGCAATGAGTTTTCTTTACTTACTATATGTTCTTGCTATATGTTCTTGCTAGTTTCTGCTAATGTCCTATTGTCCTATTCTGGAGTCAAAACGTTTCCAGTCGCCAAATAAACCGAAACATATAAAGGTATTCTTCACTGGCTAGAGCAGGTTTCACTTTTCGTTTCATTGTCCAGATGAGCTGGCCGTGGAACGTTTTTGTTTTTAGAAATGGTTTACTTGTAGTACAACTCATAGATTTCCTCTATGAAGATCCGGTAGAATACTTTGTTCACAGTTTCTATCCATTGAACATAAGGTGCTTTTGCAGTAAGCAAATGCTAATTATGCCTAACTCTTCCAAGTAATAATGCACGGTCAGCTGTGTGACGCAGTCGTCGCCTAACAGTTGTCGGACTTTGAACGGCAACACCAGAACAGCTAACAGTCCTTTAGCGATTCATAGGTGCGGTTTAGCCATCAGACCTATATCGCCTATATCTGTCCTCATCTGATTCAACCATGGATAGAAACCTTAAACATATTACATAACTATAGTATCTAAATGAAACAAATAATTAATGCAGAATATATGCAAAAAATTGATCCACTAAAACATAATTCCACTAAAACACTATACTGGTTGTTTCGCATTCAAATCTTGTACTCTTTTTGCAGACCAGAAAGAAGAGTACTGAAAAAAAAGAAAAAAACCCAATTCCTACAAAACCACTTCATTTGACACAAACTATAAACCTCTGCATACATGACCAAATACAGATGCCCAACTACAATCAGAAAACTGTAGTTTCACATGCAAATAATACACAGGCAGGCAGTGGGCGCAAGATAACGAACGGTCCTGCTGCTGTTGGCAACTTCCGCAAAATATCGTCAAAACAAATCACAAATAAGCCGGCTTCGACAGTTGTTGCGCATTTCCGATGCTGAAGATGCAATCAGAACAGCCTTTCGCTCTCACAGAAGCGCTAGGTTGACATGTTCCGCTGAATAACAACTATGGGCAGTGTTTAGGTCAAAGCTATCGTTAACACATCCCTTAAGACAGGTGGGAAACTGCTCGGACAACTGATCTGTTAAAATTAACGATGATCATTTAAACACCCATCCATAAAAGTTTTTTGCATTGATTTTCGCCCCTTTTTAAATTCATTAATTACAAAAACACTTTTTTGCTGAACAAAAAGCTGCATCGCTTCAAAACGTAAAAAATATTTCATCTTTTTGCTGCGCCGAACTATCTACAGCACAACGACAAATAAAAAAAAGTCCTGTTTTCTGATGAAAACAAAAACGATACCGTAATAGAATGGATTTTTATGAA